ATTTTTTTTTATAGGAGCTCATATTTACAATATGCCTTGAGTTTCAGAGGTGACTGAGGACTTGAAGTTTGGGGCAATCCTGGTACAGTTAATGAAAGAATAGTGAGGAACCAGGAGACAGACGAGTGAGAAATGAAAATCAGAGACCAGGCAGAGATACATACAAGAGTTTATTTGTCAGAGCTGTCAAATAAAGGCACATCTCCATAGACAGGGAGAGGCAACACAGCCCTGGGTTTCGGGACTTTTATGGGGCAGGCCCAGGGATTAGAGCCAGGCGGGTCCTAATGCAGGTGGTTAAGGGTAGGGTTGGTATGAGGGAGTGGTAAACCTTTCTCAGAAATACCTTGGGGAGGAAAGCAAAAAAAAAAAAATTTAAATGGCAGCTGTCACTTAAGATAGCTGTTCAGATGCTAAGCAAGGACCTTACAGTTAAGACTACAGGAACTCTGGAAGAAGGACTAAATGTATTTTAATTGTGAGATGGACATGAGCTCTTAGGGGCCAGGAGCAGAATATTATGGTTAATATATTTGTCCCCCAAAAGCTCATGTGTAAGACAATGAGAGAAGGTTTAGAGGTGAAATGTGGTGTTATTACAGCTTTCACCCAATCAGCAAATTGATTATTTAGGCTTAACTGAGTGGTAACTAATAGGCTAGTATTATGTATGGCTGGAGGAGTTGGGTCCCTGGGGGTGTACCTTTAGGGTCTGTATTTAATATCTGGTGAGTGGAATCTCTTTCTTTGCTTCCTGGTCATCATCTGAGCCACTTCCATTGGCCACACTCTTTCTCCATGATGTTCAGCCTTGTTCTGAACATTAAGGAATGGAGCTGGCTCTCTATGAACTGATACCTCTGAAACTGTAAGCCCTTAAATAAAATTGCCCTCCTTAAAATTGTTCTTGTCATTTCCTTTGGTTAAAACAGCAAAAAAATAAAATAAAACTAACTGGAATAGTTAGTGAACTTAATATCACTTTGGCCAAAATACCTAACAAGATCAAGTTAGAGTAGGAAAAGTTTATTTTGGCTCCCAGTTTCAGAAGTCTCTGAAACTGACTCCATTGATATGGACCTGAGAAGATAGAACATCTTGATGGAAGAGTATTGGGAGAGGAAACCTAGAAGGGCCTGGGGGAGGAAAACTGCTAGCTCTTGCAACCTGGAAGCATGGTGGTAGGTGGGGGGGTCAGGAGAAGATAAACCCCTCTAGGGCACATCTCAGTGACCTGATTTTTCCAACTAGGTTCCATTTCCCACTAGTTTCTTTAGCCATCAGTGAATTAATCCAATGATCAAGTCAGAGCCCTTGTGAACTAAGTATTCCCTAAAAGCTTTGCAAGTGAACCTTGTTGTGTTGGGGACAATGTTTTCAACACAAGAAATTTTTAGGGGACATTCCATATCCAAACCATGATATAGTATCTCTTCATTTCAGGGAATTGTCACTTCTGCATGCCATTAAACAGCATTCTTGTGGTGTTACATAGTCCTGCCAATTTTGGATATTTCTGTATTCTGGAATCAGTTAAAGTATTCTTTGAAAAAATATGATTGCCTTATCTTTTACATAGTTTTAACTGTCTTTACAGTATTATGTGTATTCTCTGTTTACTTTGGATTTGTTTTGCTCTCCTCTCTGCTTTTAAAAATTTAATATAGAAAATAAGATTATTGATTTTAGAATTTTCCTATTTTTAAGATATACATTCAGTGCTTGTCTCACCTTCTTTTCTTTAATCTTGTGAATTTTTTAAAAATATTTTTTTTAGTTCTCAGTGAACCTTTATTTTTTATATGAGGTCCTGAGAATTCAGCCCAATTCCTCACACTTGCTAGGCAAGCATTCTACCACTGAGCCACCACCCCAGCCCCTACTGTGAATTTTTTAAATTGAAATTCTCTAATTTACTATGTACCAGTTTTTCTTTTATGTGTTCTTACATGTCATTTGATCATCATTGGATTATTTTGTCCCATGTATAAACATTACATTAACTTGCAAATGAAAGAAGTGAAGTATATTTATTCATTGATTCAACAAACATTAATAAAATTTCTAAAATATGTTAGCCATAGCTCTTTATACTGGTGTTCACTACAGAGAAAACATACTGCAATTTTGTTTTTTATGAGTTTTACTTCCTAATGAAAGTAGCTTACATCCTCTGAAGGGAGCTTAGATACCAAATGAGACTCCCAACATTACATACTCTAACCTGATTGGAAGTTAGAGGTCAGTGGATGAATGGTTCATATATTTGATACCAGAACTTCACGTGCACTGAATTTAGCCTTCTTAGGATCTGAAACTCTAGATGTTATTTCTTTTAAATTTAATTGTTACTCCTTTATTCTGGGATATAATAATCCAATACTTGTATACAATGTATAATGACAAATAATGGTAATTAGCATTTACCTCCCCTTAAATGTGTATGTATTAAAAGGAGATATATATGCCTGCATGCATGTGTGTGTGTATGTGTGTGTACATAAAATATGTATTCAACTTTTGATAAACAGGTAGCAATTGTACATATTTATGAGATATATTCTAATATGTGGATACAATGTATAGTAATCAAATCAGGGAAATTTCTATTTCCTTAACATTTTGTTTGGAGCCTGTGAACTCATATCTCCTAGTTACTCATAAAAAATGCAATTTGTTGTGAACTATAGTCAACTACTGTGCTGTAGAATACCATTACTTATTATTTCTAACTCTGTTTTAGTAGTCATTATCCAACTCCCTTCTACTTTACTAGCTACTAGTTTCCCATATGAGAGACATATGTGGAAATTGTCTTTCTGTCTTTGAATCATTTCACTTAATATGATGTCCTCCAGTTCCATTGATTTTGCTGCAAATGATAGGATATGATTATTTTTATGGGAATATAACTTTCCATTGTATGTATTTATACTACATTTTTTTCATCATCCTAAACCATGAATTATGACTTTCTGCCCTAAATATATTCATGAGGAAACACCAAAATCCATTTCAATATTGAAGTACCCAAATCAATGTTGACTAGAATATCAAGTGAACAGATAAAAATTTTTTATAAAGATTCTCATGTGTTTACCTCTGCATTGACTAATCTTAAAGTGTTTTGTATAAAAACCATCAGCACAATCAAAAAGATGACTGAAAGTTAAAAAGAGCAAGAAACAAATAATATAGGTTGAAAAGCTCAATTTGAAATCTAGTTTACAGAGAGCATTGCTAATGTTTCTATGATTATGATTATGATTATGGCAGGAATCCTAAAGATACGGGTTTTTTTCCTACACCTTCAGAAAGCTATGACTACAATGTGACTTAATAAGTTAACCCTTCTCAAGTTCCAAATTCATCTTTAAAATATTTCTTGAATCATAGTTTATGAAATAACCTCCCAACACATAAAATAGGAATTCCACTAGCCCAATAATAATGCTGATATTTCTGATAGCTAGGAATCATAAAATGGAATCATAAAACTTTTTAAAAATATACTTTATCATATTACTTCAATAATAGTAGAATACATCAGATGAGGAACAATGACAAAATGAACAGTCACAGAGAAAAATAATGTATTCCAGTCATTTTACAGTATACAGTTTCGCATTCTTCCAATAGAAATGAATCTTATATTTTTTAGTTCAAAAAACACTGCTGACCAGAAGGAAGTCATGATGTATTTGTTCCCAGGTATACACACAGAATTTGGTTCAAAACTTTCCATTAAAATCTTGGGTTAACATCAATATTAATGATGGCAGAGGAAACGACAGTGGTTGGAAAGATCATATCAAGTGAATAACATAGGACTCATTAAAAAATGTAGCATGACCATTGATTTTGATTAATGCAGATGCTTAAAGTAGAAAAATATGGAAAAGATGAGTTAAAAAGTGATTCAAACGAGCTTGATCTGAGTGGGAAAAGTTTTGTAACAGTATCTTTATTGTTGCATTTGGCTTGTATATTCTATTGTGAGTAAATATGGTTGAAAACAGACATTCATATTTACATAAGTTGAAAATATTTTTCACTGATTAAAGTGTGTAATTCTAAGTGATGGAAAGATTTGTGACATCATTTTTCAGTAGTTTTATTCTCCAGTGGTTTGATTTTACTTTCTATATGTACAATAATAATACTTCTTTTTTTTTTGTGGTGCTGGGGTTTGAACCCAGGGTCTTGTGCATACTAGGCAAGCACTCTACCAACTGAGCTATATCCCCAGCCCAATAATACTTCTTAACAACTAATGCAATGACACATCTTTTAAATCATTAGAAAAAAAATTTATTAGTGATTAGTATAGAAATGTTTGGTATTGTGCTCTACATGTTATGTATTATTAGTTAATGCTTATGGCATCTCAAATGGTAGGCACTATTATCATACTCATGACCACTTTCTGAATCTTCATTAAACCCTTGTAAGGAATAAATAGAAGAACCTTGAGACTGACTGGGTCTATCTCCAGAATCTTTGATGTAGGTCTCATTTCAAAAATCTTTGGTTTATATACTGTGTTTAATATTTTTATAAGTAGGTCTTTGATCCACCTGAAATTGATTTTGTATACAATGTGAGATTTTAATGATATCCTACAGAAACTCAATCTTCTAGAACATTTATAGAAAATGCATCTTTTCCTTACTGACAGGCATATACATTTTCTTTTAATATTCGTGTATGTTTGTTTTGGGTTTATTTATTTATTTATTCTTATTTATTCCTGTGTCTATACAGGAATTATTATTCCTTAATTACAAAAAGATTTCCTCCCCAAAAAGGCCCTTTTTATCTTATCAACTGTTCTGTGATGAATAGTACAAACTTGCACTCCTTGTAACTACACCAATGTCCATGTGTGTCTTAAAGAAATTTTAGAATTTTAGAACATGCTGTTAACTCTTATGTCTCTAACATCCTAATACCCATGACCCACACCAGCTTTAACTATTTAACACTTTAAACCACAACAGTGTTTACAGCCAGAGGATTCAGCCCTGGGTATCTCTGCACAAGCTCAGAGGATTCCACATACACAGTCCTTCTCCTCCATACCATGTCCACCCAGGTTGGGTCCACAGTGGAAACTGGTAAGTATGGAGCCTTGCTGTAGGTGATGCATGCAAATGAACAGCTGCTCCCATCTCTCCCTGTGGATAGGTTGGGGAACTCAGACTTTGGATAAGAATGAGTTTGTTCACAGATCCTTCTGCTTGTCAGCCAGTGCTATTTTACTACTTTATTCCTAGCATAGCAATATTTCTTCTTGGCTTTTATTTTGTTGTGCATGAGTTTACCTTTCAGGTTATAATTTGAGTCTGCTTCATCTACCACAAAGTGTATATTTTTGTACCATGTAATAGATCCTTCTGTTCTTTTTTAATATTTATTTTTAAATTGTAGTTGGACACAATATCTTTATTTTATTTGTTTACTTTTATGTGGTGCTAGGGATAGAACCCAGGGCCTCGTGTGTTCTAGGCAAGCGCTCTACCACTGAGCCACAACCCCAGCCCTCAGCCTTCTATTCTTGAAGGGTTAAATTTACTCACAATTGCTTTTGAAATAGGTATTTTAATATTTTCAAGCACCTCCCTATTGTGGAGTGAAATGGAACAAATTATATTATCTGTATATGGATATACCACATTGAATTCCACTTTTTCATACCCCTTATCTGAATTGATTGGGATTATCAATATTATTAGAATAAATATATGTTATACATTCTCTACAGCATCTTCCAGACAACCATTGTGAAGTGCTTCTTATTGAAAAGGAGAGGAAAAGAACCTTTCTTGAAACTATTAGATACTTCTGCGGCTTAATTTACTCTATTAATTTCTTCACAAAGCTATCAACACGTGTAAAAAGAACACTAATATTTTCAGTTTAATACTTTGTACTGTACAAGTTACTTTGTTCTGTACAAGTGTGAAATTCATTATACTGTATGATTTTTTTCCTTTCCCAAAAGATAATAAATTGGCTGAATTCAACAATGAAATTCACCTCACTCGGTAAATGTCTACATGCCATCTTCTTGTGCAGATTGTGCACGACTGTGTGTGTATATACATATATTTTTTTTCTAGCTTAATTTCATTGTGTTTTAAAAGTGCACATTGATTAATGATTTATATTTTTTACTTTTTATATTTTTTTATTTGTTCTTTATATTTACATAAGCAGTATAGTGTATTTTGACATATCATACATACATGGGGTATAACTTCCTTTCTTTCTTTTTTTTTTTTTTTTTGGTGCTGAGGATTGAACCCAGGGCCTGTGCATGTGAGGCAAGCACTCTACCAACTGAGCTATATCCCCAGCCCAAGGAGTATAACTTCCTATGGTAGTGGTTGTACATGATGTGGAGTTACACTGGTCATATATTCATATATGAACATAGTAAAGTTACAACTAATTCATTCTACTGTCTTTCCCAATCCCATCCCTCTCCCTCCACTTCCTCCTATTCAATCCAGTGAACTTCACTCCTCCATTTACCCACCTATTGTGAGCCAGCATCTACGTTATCAGACAGAATATTGGGCCTTTGGTTTGTTGGGATTGGCTTATTTCACTTAGCATGATAGTCTCCAGTTCCATTCATTTACTGGTGAGTGCCATAATTTTGTTCTTCTTTATGGCTGAGTAATATTCCATTGTGTGTATGTACCACATTTTCTTTATCCACTTATCTGTTCAAGGGCACCTAGGTTGGTTCCATAGCTTAGCTATTGTGGATTGAGCTGCTATAAACATTGATGTGGCCACATCACTATAAACCATTGGCCAAACTAATGAAGAGAGAGAAAACTCAAACTATTTAAATTCATGATGAAAAACAAAATATCACAACAAACACTAATGAAATAGATGATAATCAGAAACTATTCTGAAAATTTATACTCTAATAAAATTGAAAATTTTGAAGACATTGACAAATTATTCTAGAGTCATATGACCTACCCAAACTGATTCAGGAGGACATTAAAAATTTAAACAGATTAATTTCAGGCAATGAAATTGACGATGCCATCAAAAGCCTACCAACAAAGAAAAGCCCAGGACCAGATGGACTCTCAGCCAAGTTCAAGACCTTCAAAAAAGAACTAATACCTATCCTCCTCAAATTTTTCCACAAACTCATTATATTATATTATTTATATTCTTTTATTTTTTATTTTGTTTTAATTAGTTACACATGACAGTATAATGACCTTGACATATCATACATTTGAATCAGATGGGATATAATTTCTCATTTTTTAGTTTATATTCTTTTAAATTTTAAAAGTTCTGTCCCTTTCCCTCATTTCCTTCCTCACACTGATCTGCTTACTATATTCTACTTATCTTTCTTCTATCATTTTTATTATTGTTGTTGTAATTAGTGTGTTATAATTATGTCTAATATAATGTGCCACCTATTTATATTTAACCTATGTGTCTTTATATTTAAAGTGAATTTCTTATAGAGATACCTGTTCTTGAGACTAGTTTCTTCTACTCTGACACATCTGTGTCATTTAATTTGCATTTGATGTTGCATGTAGATATATTCATAAACACTATATTTATTACTCTCTTCCAATTCTTCTGATCTTTGTTCTATTCTATTATTTTTTCGGATTTAATTGAGCATTTTATATGATTCAGTACTCTCTTTTTTCAATATATAGTCACTATTCTTTTACTTATTAGTAACAATAGGTAGATTTTTTTATATTCTTAATTCATATAAGAGATAACAACTTGGTAATAATAACAATGGCAAGAATGTATGTGAATATGTTTGATTAGGTATTGTTTTAAGCTCATACATACATATATGTATGATATGCCTGAATCAATGAAAACAATAATAAAAGGGATAAGAGATAGGAAATTAAGATTATCCTGTTTTCAAATATTGTCACAGTAAATCCGAAGCAATATTCTTTGATTTGAAAAAGATTAGCTTATTTGTAAATGTAAATTCCAGACTGTACAACAAGCTAGTGAACCAAGAGCCTCAGCACCTTCCTAATTTTTGGCCAGTGGCTCCATTTGTTTCCTTAGACTGTGGCATTCTAGTCCATGGAATAATATTTCTTCAAAACCATCAATGTGGAGAATTGATTAGTAAAATAAATCACAAAATTATATAACAAAATTATCCTCATTATATTCCATCAATTTTGCAGTTTTCTGTTTCAAATCAAAGTCAAAATTTATACTCACAGCAAGAAATTAGAATACGAACTTCTATATACCAAGAGATTGGGTTATGGCTTGGATATGATATTCCCCAAAAGCTCCTGCATTAAGGATATTCAGAAGTGAAAAGATTAGATGATAAGAACTGTAACCTAATCAGTCCATCCTACTTTGAATGGACTAACTGAGTGGAAACTGTAAGCAAGTGAGGCATGACTAGAGGAGGTGGGTCACAGGGGTCATGCCCTGGAACAGTTCATCTTCTCTGTGGCCTATTCCCCTTTATTTCTGTTTCCTGGCTGCCATTAGCAGAATAGCCTTCCTCTGCCACACCATTCTTCATAATATTCTGCCTCACATTTGACCCAGATAAATGATGTGACTGACCATGGACTGAATCATTGAATTCAAGAAACTAAAATAGACTTTTCTTCCTCTAAGTTTTTCTTGTCTGGCATTTTTGTCACAGCAGTGAAAAGCTAGCACAAGTGGTAAATAGTGGGTGACATTTTAGGGTTGATCTGCCACATTAGCTCTGTCCATTCTGCAATAATTTCTCAATCTTCACTTATTTTTTATGATCTTTCCTATTATGAAAACAGCTGGTCAGTCATTTTGTAAGATGTCCGACAATCTTAATGTGTCTGATGGCTTCTCATAAATTGACTAGGTTTAGGTAATTGATTTAGACCTTTATACTTACTGGTATTTGAAGATGAGAAGCAAAAGGTACAAAATCATATTTAGAAATACAATTCAGAGGGAAATTACAATAAATAAGATGAGGATAGTGACAGAGAATTCAAAACAACAGTAAAGCTGGGTGTGGTGGTACACACCTATAATCCCAACATCTCAGGAGGCTAAGGTGGGAGGATTGAGATTCAAAGCCAGCCTCAACAACTTAGCAAGTTGCTAAGCAACTCAACAAGACCCTGTCTCTAAATAAATACAAAAAAGGGTTGGGGATATGGCTTATTGGTTAAGTGCCCCTGGGTTTAATCTCTGGTACCATAAAAAAAAGTAAAAACAGTATAAACTTCAGCAGGTAAGAAGGAGAATAGAATTGGTGAGAACGCAGTGAGGAGGCATCAAATAATGTTGATAGTATTCTGTTTATTAAGCTTGACAGTAAGTTAGAGAGAGAGAGAGAGAGAGAGAGAGAGAGAGAGAGAGAGAGAGAGAGAGAGAGAGAGAGAGAGATTGATTTTAGAATAGTTTTATATTTCCAAGACATTTGTAAAGCTAGTACAGGTAATTTATCTATACTTGACACAGTTTATCACATTAACAACTTACTAGTGTGTGACATTTGTCATAATTATGAATCCAATATTATATATTTTCATTCACTTAAATACAAACATCAATCAAATTTCCTTACTTTTCATGTAATATCTGTTTTATTTTCCAGTATTCCACAATACATTTAGATATCATGTTTCCTTTGCATCCTTCAGAAGTAACAGTCTCTCAGATTTTGCTTGTTTTTGATAACATTGACCTCCCTCACTTTAGGTTTCACATTTTTTCTCATAGTCAAATAAGGAATGACAATTGTGGGGAAGAAAACTGCAGAAGGAAGACACTATTCTCATTCTCATTATATCATATCAAAATGCTTTCTCACTGCTTTGTTAATTTCATCTCCCAGACAAGATAGTCATGGTCATGTTTCTTCACAGTAAAATTAACTTTTTGCCATCCATGTTGTGTTTTGGAAGAAGTCAGTATGCACATCATATTTGTAAAAAGTAGAGAATCATTCTTCACTTACTTATAAACAAAGCTTCTACATATTACATAGATCATTTGTATTTCTTCGCCATGGACAATTTGTCTAGTCTGTGATATTTGTTATATATTTATTTTACTAATTATTTATATAAGATGTAATATTAATATGAAAAAATGTACATTTCTACTATACTACAATTATACTAGCTTGTTAATTTTTGTTGCTCATATTGTCCCATCGTTGAACATGTATCAGTTTGAAATATCACATCATTGAAGTTTGATATTGTTTGTATGGTTCATTGGGTCATGGATTCTGTTGCTATTTAACCTTTTTTTCACATTCTGGCACTGCAAAATTCTTCAGAATAATTGTGTTTATTGCTTGCCCAAACCAAATAGTCATCATTTCTTCCATAGTTCTTTTTTTGTGAATGGTATTACAAAGATTTAAGCAGTGGATATATTAATTTTTACTATTGGACTATCTACTCTGATTTGAAGGAGCAAAAGAATGTAAATATATATCCTAACATACATAGACACATATGTAAAACATTTTTACATTCGTCCATATATATTAGCATGTAGTTAAATATGACTTCTTATTAATTACATCAGTACCACTCTAATCTAATAACACATGAGTTGATTTAATCATTTGTGCAACTTACACATAACAGTGAGAAAGTTGTCCTTGTTTACTTAATCATGGAATCCTAATATACATATATAGTGGTTTTAGAATTAATAATCAATAATTATTAATTGGAAAATATTTTATTATAATATTATTAATGTAGAAAATATTTTAGAAGCTAAAGTACATTGCTTATGTGCATACCTGTCACCATTAAACTTAGAATATTCCTTTATTTCCTAAGTTAGTTAGGTAATTTTTTGATCAATGATATTCGAATGTGTTTTTTTTTAATACTATATTATTTTGTCTGCATTCTTCCTTGGGATCCTCAAACTTACTGAATAATTTTTTAAATGCAAACATTTAGGTTCCCTCTTTTTTTTAAATATTTATTTATTGTTTTTTTAGTTTTTGGCAGATACAACATCTTTGTATGTGGTGCTGAGGATCGAACCCAGGCCGCATGCATGCCAGGCAAGCGCGGTACCGCTTGAGCCACATCCCCAGCCCCTTAGGTTCACTCTTTTGTTGTAAAGTTTTATAGGATTTGAAAAAATATTAATAACAAATTATACATTATCATATGAGAATAATTTCAC